TTATCATTATATTTTTATCATACTTTTCTTATCATATTTATCAAATTCTTATCATACTTTGTATTTTTTTTTTTTCATATAACGATAATGTTATATGATAATAATATTTTTTATAAAAATTTTGACAAAAAAAAAAATTTATTTTGAAAAAAAATAGCAAAAAATAAAATATGAAAAGTTATCGAATTAAGTATTAAATAATATTATAGTTTAAAAAGAGAAGGAAAAAAAAAAAAGGAAACGACAAAGGCGTAAAATGATTGTCATTTTCACTTTCTCTCATTCTTTCGTTTTTTTTTTCTTTCTTTTTTTTTTTTTTAAATTCTCATATATAAGCTTTTAAAGAATTTTAATCCATGCAAGAAAGCATTACCAAAAGAACATTTTATTCACTTTTCAATCCTTTTTTGCGCATTTGCTTATCTAATTTAATCCCAATATAAAATGTTCGAAATTACTGGAACTTTCTTTTTTCGATTATTCATTTCCTTTTTTAATTTTTTTTTATTTTTCGTTTTGCAAAAAAAAGCTATTTCAATGTAATTAAGCGTTAATATCACGTCATTTTCATTATGATGTTTATTGTTCGTTTACTTATTTATTTATTTTTTACTTCATCAATCAATTTTCCTTTTTTTACGCTAATGATTTACATAACTTCAATTAATTAATTAATACATATATATATATACATATATATATTCTAATTATACATTTCAAATTTTAAAATGCAAAATTTAAATAAGCAAGCATAATGATTACATATGTAAGTAAATAATCTTTAAAGTTTATTATTATTATTGAATAATTGAAACTTTGTGAAAAAATGTCATTCTATCAATCAATTGATAGATAAGTTTTATTGTTATTTATTAATTAATTAATTTATAATATTTGTTGTTTAGAGAGAGCAAAAAAAAAAAGTATCTCTTAATTATAAAATGTATATTCTTATCATTGAATGTATTCACTCTCCCTCTCTCTCTCTCTCTCTCTCTCTCTCTCTCCCTCTCTCTTACCATTTCAACAACTTTCAATAGTAGCAATTTTCTGTTTAAATAATAAAAATTAAAATTTTTATAAAAATAAAAATTTAAAATAAAATATTTGAAAACAATTAATTTCCTTAATTTATCATTTTGTGATTGTAATTTTATTCATCACAAAATATATATTTTCTGCAATTATATGAAAATTTGAATAATCCTATCTTAATTTCTTTACTCTTACGTGAAACGTGAACTATTTTAATTTTTTATTTTTACGTTTTACGTGAACACTCCTAAATTTTTTGCTCTCATGTAGATTGTTTTTTTTAAATCTTATTTGAAGCGTAAATATTACGAAGTTTTTTCTCGCCTTTACATGAAACCTGAACTATCTTAATTCTTTGCTCTTACGTAAAACGTGAATATATTGGAAGTTCTTTTAGCTTTCACATGAAACGGAACTATTATAATTTCTTTTATTTCAACGTGATACGTGAATTATTTTAACTGCATGATTTTGTCTAAATTTTTATTTTAGAATGATGAAATTTTCACAAATATGTTAAAAGATAATAATGAAATGAGAGCTGATGTGAATCGAAAAAAATATTTGATGGTTGATATATTGTACAAATTTATCGATCAGAAAAGAAGTCAACAATTCTGATATCTCATAACAATTCCATCCATCTCAACAACAACAACAACGACAATAACAACAAACAACAACGACAACAACAATAACAACAATAACAACAAACAACAACGACAATAACAATAACAACAATAACAACAACAACAACAACAACAACAACAGCAACAACAACAACAACAGCAACGACAACAGCAACAGCAACAACAACAACAACAACTACTACTACTACAACAACAACAACAACAACAAACAACAACAACAACAATAATAATAATAATAATAATAACAACAACGACAACTACAACGAAATCTTCTGATCTACAGAAGAAAAACGACGAAGAGGAAAAAAAGAAAGAGGAAAGGAAAAAAAAAGACGAAAAAAAAAGATAATCATGATTTCCTATAGAATTATATCGTGGTATAATGTTATAGTTATGCTTTCTTTTTTCATTTTAACTTTTTTTTCAAATTAAATATTTAAAATTTAAAATTTTTTTTCAAATTAAAAAATTTTCTTTGATTTAGATTTTTCTGTTTAAAAAAATATATGTATACATATATTATGCGTTATTATTAAATGATCGAAATATTTGGTTGTATTTATTTTAATATAATACTAATTGTTAACATTCTTATTTGATTATATAATATCCTAAAATAGTTTTACTGAAAATTAAACCATTTCAATGAATGAATTTTTATAAAATTATTTTATAAATATTAGCATTAATATGGATAATTTTGCAAAATATTAATGATAATATATAAAATTTTTCGAAATTTGAATTTCATTTTTTTTTTATCTGAAATTTATTACAGTATTTTCATTATTTTTCATTCATTAAAGAATTATTCCACTTATCACGAATGAATTTTTGCAAAAATTATTTTTTTTAATATAAAAATTTTTCAAAGCTATATTATTTCTGATTGGTTGATTTAAGTGTTAAATAAAATGATAACAAAAGTTTTTAACAATACAGTAATTTCAAAGATATTATCAGGAAAAAAAAATAAGGTACCAAAATATTTTGAAATTTCGGAACATAAATTTTAATATCATTAAAGATTATTTGTTAAAATAAAAAATAAAAATTTATATCAAAATTTCTAGAAATATTTATATCAAAAGTCTTACTTATGATTTATTTTATTCTTATCATAATCATTATTAAAACTATTACTATTATCATTATTCTTATTAATATGATTATTGAAACAATTTGAATGAGCCCAATTATAGTAATTACAATGAATACATATGATTATAATCATGGTTAATATTAATCACAATCATCATCATCATCATCAAATGTTATCATTAACAACAACAATATTTCTTCCCCTTCTTTTTTTTCCTTTCATTCTTTGGCACACCACCTGCCTATTTAAAAATTTAAAGAAAAAAATTAAAACTTTCCATATTTCTTATTAAAAAAAAAAAA